AAAAAATAGAACTGCATGCAGTTATGTTGAAAGCAGGAGGAATATTTTTGGATTCATTCAAGTTTATATTTTTGCCACTTTTTCAAAAGATATTGCTTTTGTTGCTGTTGATGGTGAATGTATATTTTAAGAACCCTATGAATTACTTATTTAATGTATATTATTAATCCCAAAGTCACTTTTTGACTTGAGATAGAAGTGAAATGCTTGCTCTTACATATTTTTGCATGATCTACCCAATATCTGTTACAAAGGATTATAGTAGTAGTGATCTGAAATGAGCTGAATGTTTAAGAAAAAAAATGCAAATGATAAGGTCTTCATAGTATTTCTATTACTAAGCATATAGCCACAAAAGGATCTACTTAAGGTGAAAAACACCACATTCTGTATCTACAGTAATACGTTGTTTTGTTGTTGCTAGCATTTTAGAAAGACAAAAATAAGTGAATGTGTGCTTCCAAGGTACGTAACCTATATGAGGACAAATTAACAATCCCTTCTTTTCAATTCCTGATCCATTATGAAACATTGTCATTTTATTTACAGTCTTCAGCCGTGAAAACTAAAAACTAGTTTCTGGCTAGAACAATGACCTTATTCAAATATTTGCTTCCAGAAAGCACTGGATATACAGCCACTATAATATGCATGATCCTAATGACCCTGAAGTGACTAGTCTACCCTGAAATAGAAGCATTTATTCAAACCATTATTGCTTTTATCGGTCATGGATTTCTGGCTTTGAAAACCTGAAGAAATTGTCTCAGGTCTCTGACTTTCAGGAGATTATGTGCACAAGATTTATGAGTTGCAAAGTTTACAACTCAACTACAATTTACACCAGAGCTTAGTATTTTCATCAGTTGTTTTTTTTTAAATTTAATTCTATTTGTGGTCTGTTCAGATATTAAACTGGACTGTTAAAAATGCTGTTTCAGTTTTGAGAGTGGTTCTGAGTAACTATGTTCATGTAAACAAAGATTTTAAAGAACACACTAGGGAACCAATAATGTTCATTCAGAGAGTATGACTTATGGCTGAAATAGTTTAAATTCAAATTCACAGTGAGATGTAATATGGAACTTACTTCAACATAGATAGTAAAAGATAGAAGCATTTTTGAAGGATAGTTGGGAGTTTCGATAATAATGGAAGTAGCTCAGAGTTGAACTGTGGAGTCCTTGGGGTTCTCCATACATCAGAAACAACCAACAGACTATTACAACCACATGGCATCTCTGCAGCACGCAAACCAACTAAAGCCCTCCAAAACATC